CAGTTTAAAACTGTCCATGCCCGGACACCCTCCTTGAACTGGAAATACAGAATATACAGGAAGAAGGAGGCTATGTGGATTCTGACAAGAGTGAAGGTAATTACTAGAAACCTCATTAGACTAGAAGTGATGGAAATGAGATCGGAAGGAACAGGCAGGAACTCCTCTTGTTCGATCTCCATCCTAGGAGCAGCTGGGTGGTGCAGTGGCTAGAGTGCCAGCCTTGGCATCAGGAAGACCTGAATTCAAATCTGGCATCAGACACTGACTGACTGTGTGACTCTGGGCAAGTCACTTCCCCCTGTTTGCCTCAGTTTCCTCATCTGTAAAATGAACTGGAGAAGGAAATGGCAAACCACTCCAGTATCTTTGCAAAGAAAACTCCAACAGGGGTTACAAATAGTCAGACATGAATGAAAAATGACTGAACAATGACAAAAGGCAAAGCAGTGACCCACAGCATCTTTGTTCCTTTCCTCTTTAGCCCCCAACAGACCTGAAATGTAGCACTGTCCTTCTGTCTGTCTATGCCTTTCTCTCTCTCTCTCTCCCTCTCTTAAAGGCTAAATTATCCCCTTTCTCAGGTTTTCTATGAGATGCTACCTCTTTCTTCATCTCTTTCTGTGTTATCTCTTTGTATTAATATCTCTCTTTCTGTCTCTTCCTTCCCCCCTGCCCTTTTCTCTCACAAAATTCCAACAAAGTTGTTCACTGGAAATCAAATTTTAATCTCTGAACAAATGTTTATGTGTCTATATCTTCAAAATTACTGTTAATAACCACATTCTCAATTTGCTGAAGTCATTTTTGACATATTTGCATTTTTTTGCACTGAGCTGGAAGTTTTCTTTAAAATGAATATACTTTCCAGTTTTCATGAAATCCTACTCCACCCCCTTTTCTTTGTTAACAGATTGGTAAAACGTGTCTGTTTTATTGAATGATATTCAGCCTAACACAACACTATCAGCTATGGCTAAAAGGTCCTGAGTGTTGCTGGCTGGGAAGGAAATCCCCCTGGAGAAGGGATTCCTAATAGACTAGTGGATAACAGGGCACATTGGGTATAGGCACATTCCACTCAGCCATGAAAACAAACAGAAAGACGTTGACAAGTTCAGATTAGGAACATTGACTGGCTTTATTGCCATCTGTGAGGAAAGAATGGCCAAGCCCCTTTTTGCCTGAAATGTATATACAAGTGACAGAGACAAAAAGGACCAAGTAGAGAAATGGCTTTGTTTCTCACTTGCCACCCTTCCAGATACCTAGAAGACATATTGTCAATATAAACAAAATGGAGGCTTTTATTCCACCTTTATCAATGGTTTCAGCCAATCAATTAATCAATTAAGGTCATGGTTCATTGGAAATGGTATAGAATTTGGAGTCAGAGAATGTAGATTGGAGTCCCACCTTGGTTACTTACTAGCTTCATACTACTAACTCCTTGGAGTAGCAGTTTCCTCATTTATGACAGAGAGAGAGAGAGAGAGAGAGAGAAGGAAAGAGAGAGACAGAGAGAGACAGAGAGAGAGAGAGAGAGAAAGGTGGACTAGGTAAGCTCAAAGGTCGCTTCTGGCTTGAAATCTATGGCTCCATAGTCTATGCTCAGCCCCCCAAGGGGCATTCTGGAGAAGCCACAGGTTCCAAGAATTCTAGAGATGAAAGGGATTTTAGAGATTGCCCAGTGTAACCCATTCTTTTTATAGAAAGTCTATTCTGATCCCCCCAGTTACTAGCGCCCCCCCCCCAATGGCTATGTTTCTGCTTTGTGTATGTTCTATATTTACTTTTTGATTACATATAGGAATTGGGGGGAACACATATATATGTGTGTATGTGTGCATGTAAATAAGTATGTATGTATACTTGTATGTATGTATTGCTTCTCCCTCAATTTCAACAGGATGCAAACTCCTTGAGGGCAGGAATTATTTTTCCCCCTCCTATCTCCAGCATCTAGTAAGGTACCTGACACAGAGCACTCAGTGAATATTTCCGCATCCTTCAGGCTTACTCTGCTGATCGATGAGTCCCTAGCTGGTACCAACATTTCATGAGGAGGCCAAGTCACGTCATTTCTCCCCCAGCTCTACTCCTTCTTTGGACTATTCCACCTCTTCACCAGCAACCTTGCCTCCTCTAATCAGGTCCTTCCTTCTTTTCCCCTCCTTTTCCCTTCCTTTTCCTCCCCCTTCCCCTTTCTGACTCCTTTATTTTATATTTTATCTTTCCCTATGAGAATATAAATTCAATGAGAGCAGGGATAACTTGTTTTTTATTGTGTTTGTATCTCCAGTGCTTAGCATTAACTGATCAATAGCAAGTATTTAATAAATCAATTTCTCTCTCTCTCTCTCCTCTCTTTCTCTCCTCTCTCTCTCTGTCTCTCTCTCCTCTCTCTTCTCTTTGTCATTCATGCTAGATTTCCTGGTGGTTGAACAACCAATCCAAGTGGATGGGTAGATATTTCTGCCATTTTACTATTGAAGGCTGAAGAATCATAGCATTTCAGTGATGGAAGGGAAATCAAAGACCAATTCATATCCAAAACAAAACAAAACACCAAAAAACCCTTGTGACAAGTAGTCACTCACTCAGTCTTAGCCTGAACATCCCTGAGGAGGAAGACGATCCTAAGGTCTAAAGCAGCACATTTCATTTTTTGATAGTAAATGATTCCGAAGCTGATCCCCTCCCCGCCCCCTTTCCCAATGCACAGCTTGAATTGCCCTTTTGCCAGCTTCCACCAGATGCTTCTTGTTTTGTATTCTGGGACTAAGAACAAAAAAAGTCTACTTTCCTTTCTACTTGACAACCCATGGCGTCCATCATGACCTCCAGTCTTCTCTTCCCCAAATGAAATGACCCCAGTTCTTTCAACTGATCTTTACTGGACTTGATCTCACAACCTTTACCTCACTATTTCTCTAATCCTTTTAAATAGATAAGAGAATTAAAGCTTGTTCCAGAAATCCTTCAAAGCCCTAAGAATTGACAATTTCCAATTGAAGGGATATAGCCTTTTAATTCTCTACTCCTTGGGCTGGGACACTGTGTAACCTACTTGAATGATCAATGATAAAGGCCTCTATTTCTTATTATATATATATATATATATATATATAATTTTGATTTATCAACAATCACTTCCATAAGCTTTTAAGTTTTAAATTTTTCTCCCCCTCCCTTCCAATCATCCTCCCGAAGATATTGGGATCAGATATAGGCTATACATATACATTCATATTAAACCTATTTTCACATTAGTGATGTTGTAAATAAGAATTAGAACCAATAGGAGGAACCACCAGAAAGAGGAAACAAAACTCAACAGAAGAAAAGCAAATAGCAAATAGTATCCTTCGATCCTCACTCAAACTCCATAGTTCTCTCTCTGGATCTGAATAGCATTTTCCATCATGAGAAAGCCTCTATTTCTTAAGGTTGTGGAGGACATCTTAGTATTGCTGCCCATTGTCTTCAGGGTTAATGATCCTTCCCCTAAACCAGAGATCACTGACGTTATTTGTGTGTGTCGTGGATCCATTTAGCAGTCTGGTGAAGCCCATAGACTTCCTTCTCATAATAACTCTAGGTGGCACAGTGGCTAGAGTTTTGGACTTGGAATCAGGGAGACCTGAACTCAAGTTCAGTGTTGATCACTTATTAGCAGTGTATCCCTGGTCAAGTCACTTAAGTTCTATTAGCCTCAGTCTGCCAATTTGTAAAATGGGAATGATAATAGCATCATCTACCTCTGAGGGTTGTTGTAAGGATCAAATGAAATCATATTTGTAAAACCCTTTTTGCAAATTTTATAATATATAAATATAAATGCTAGCTATTATTGCAATTAAAAATTTGAGGAAATGCTAAATTTCAGTTAGAGGTTAGTAAAAATAAAGATGTAGTCCCCCCCACCCCCACCCCATCTTATCTCACCAACCTTTAAGAACTCCTGCCCCAGACAGAAGCTCACTTCATTTCTATGCCCACTCCTCCTTCCTCCCTTCCTCCCCCTCTAAGCTTTGACTCCCCTCTCCCCCAACCCTTACCCCTTTATCCTCATCTGGGGAAAATACAGGGAGTCGTTAGTCTCAATTTAACAGAGTAATGACTTTTAAATAAAAATACAGTAGAAATGGGTACTTATCAAAATGGAATGCTTTCAGACCCATGCATTTAAAGAAGATATAAATTTTAGGGCAGGCACTAAATTTTAACTGCAATCTGGGAGAAAGCCTTTTCAGTAATTCATAGAGAAAAATTAACAAAGCGAAAATTGCTTATCAGTGTTCTTTTGAAGTCCTGATATAGAACATAATTCTACAGATCATTAGGCCCCGCTATGAGGACGAGAGATTTATATTGATTGAGGGAACACAGAGAGTGAGGCTCCCAGCCAAGGCAAACAGACGCTCTGCTGAAGGGGCTGCCCAGTAACACATTAGTGTCTTCGAGGTCAAGGGCAGGATGGAAGGGGGCTGGCATCTGCAGATCCAATTTCATCCCTGTGCTCTCTGGTCACTATGATGTCATTGCAGACACTGACCTTCCTTTTTTGGAGAGCTGACTTTTCAACCCAAAACTGAGCCTTTGTGGAAAGCTCTGACCAACCTGACTAGGGACATCAAGGACGGGCAGCGAAGGAGGAGACCTCTGGTCTAAGATCAAAGATTGGAGAGGGGAGAAAAGAGGAAGGGCAAGACGAGGGGCCAAAGACCAAGTCCACCGTGTGTGCGCGCGCACGCGCGCGTGTGTGTGTGTGTGTGTATGTGTGTGTGTGTGAGAGAGAGAGAGAGAGAGACAGAGACAGGGAGAGAGACAGAGAGACAGAAAGAGACAGGGATAAGGGGAGAGATGGGGGAGAGAGAGACAGAGAGAAAGAAAAAGAGAGAGAGTCAGACAGACAGACGGACAGAGATGCACAGAGAGAGAGACAGAGACAGAGGCAGAGACAGAACACAGCTGTGAGTTCTTGGGTCCTCACTTACCCCCATGTGACAAGAAGATGTTCCACAGATCACAGCCAGACGAGAGGTAATTGACTGGTTTTCACAGGGTAGGTTATACCCTTTCACATCTGCTCCAATCACTCCTGTGAGAAAACAAAACAAAATTCCTTCAACATATATGTGTGTGTATATGTGTGTATATGCATGTATATGTGTATATTTTAAAAGCAACAACACACAGACACAACACACACATAGATGAAATACTCCTTTTAGAGAAGAAAAATGTTGAGAAGACTTCCCACGTGAAGGCCAGACTGCAAGTGTTAAATAGGTAATAATTGATGTTTCAGGGCTACATTGCTGAGAATTGCTTCCTATATAGGAAGAGCAAACCAATAAGTCACAAAGCATTAATTAAGTGTTTCTTACATACTAGATGCTAGGAATAAGAAGACGAAAATGAAATATTCCCTGCTATTAAGGAGCCTCCGTTATACCAGGGAAAGCACAGTGGTGCAGTGGATAGAACAGTGGGCCTGAAATCAGGAAGAGCTGAATTCAAATCCAACTTCAGATACTTACTGGCTGTGTGACCCTGGGGAAGGAGGGAAGGAAGGAAGGAAGGAAGGAAGGAAAGAAGGAGGGAAGCATTTATTAAGCTCCTACTTTATGCCGGGCGCTGTGCTACATGTTTTATATACATTTCATTTGATCCTCATGACAACCCTGGGATTTAGGTGCTATTATACATATCTTACAGATGAGGAAACTGAGGCAGACAGCATTTACATGATCTTCCCAAGGGTCACATAGCTAGTAAGTGTCCAGAGCTGAATTTGAATTCAGGTTTTCCTGACTCCAGGTCCTTGATTTTGCATCAGAAGGTGTCAGTTCAAATTCAGCCCCTGATGCTTAATATTTTGTTGGGGGGTGGGTCACTTCATTCTCTGGACAGCAGTTTTGTTCTCTGTTAAATGAAGTGGTCTGAACTGTGGTTGTATTAGAAGGGTGTGGAACAAGGCCACTTTAGACTTGAGGCCTCCTGTTCATCAGAAAGGGCCAGGAATGGAATTACCCATGTCACAGAGACAATGACCTTGACCCTGGGACTTGACTTTGTCCCTGTGTGCTTTCTTTCACCCATCTCTACTTGGAAGAATGGATTTACGAGTTGAAAACCTGAGAATGCTTAACTCTCTTAGTAATTTGGTACTTATTTAGCAAATAACCATCCCCTGGTTTATAGCTTGTCCTTCAGAGAGTGAAAATGGGAACGTAAAGTCTCCAAAGACCAGGCCTTGGACTCAGCAGGGGATCCAAAGAAAGGGTTAAGACTGGTCCCTGATGGGAACATCTCGCTCAGGACACAATAAGCCTCAGTGGCAGCTAACCTCTGGAGGGAGCACGACTGAGGGGGCATTTTATCTAAAAGAGATGAGACAAAGAGAGGGCGCTCCATTTTGAGATAAGGGAGCCTCCCACATTTATTCGTCCTTAAGGAGGAGAGGGCAGCTGAGGATTTCAGCTGCATCAGGAGCTCCAGATGCTGGAGATTGTAGACAAATACCATCCTGCAGAAACTGCATCTAAGCAGTGATGACTGTCTAGCTGAGGCTGTGATCCCCAGAGGGAAGGCATGTCCAGAGGAGGGCTGTGGTTCCAAAAGAAGCACCCAAGGCTACAGTCATTGCCCTGCTGTATGTGAGCCTGGGTCACACAGCATTCACACAGTATGGTGCCTCTTCAAATGTTTCTTACGCTGATGCTGTGTGTTTGTGGGAAGTCGCCTTACTTAGATTTATGGGGCAAATGACTAGTTCTTGTTTTGACAATGATGCCACTTCAAGAAATATCTTCTCTTTAAAGTAATTGTGCCTTCTGCCTGACCATTAAAGAGAAACACATTGGTGGGGGCTCACTGGCTACTGTCTTAGGGCACACTGATTCACAAAATACCTAGAACCTAGCTGTCCATTGGGGGAACCGATCTCTAAGACAGACAGGTGTCTGAAAGTGTTGGCCTATGATCCTACATCTGAGGAGGAAGATCCTTCCCAACCAGTTTGTTTACTAGTTGCCCCATTAGATTGTGAGCTCCTTGAGGGCAGGGATTGTCCTTTGTCTGGTATATATTAGGTTCTTAACAAATGCTTATTGACTGACTATCTGACTCAGTTTTCTCAATGGGAAAATGGAGATAATAATAGCACCTACCTCCCAGGGTTGTTGTGAAGATCAAAAGAGATAATATTTGTAGCACAGTTACTGGCAAATAGTAGGCACTTAATAAATGCTGGTTTCCTTCCTTTCTTTAACATTTTTCTAAGTCTTCAGATTATTGTTTGCAAATTTCAAAGTTCTTTATAAATGTCAAGAGTAGTAGTAATGACACTTGTTATTTTGAACATTAATTTGTAAATGTGCCAGAAATACTGGTTGATAGAGTCCCAAGTAAAATACTATTGTATAACAGAGTTTATGATGAAGTGAATAGAATTAGCATTTGTCTGCATTCCATTTTTATATATCCAAACAATCAGTCCATAAAACTTATTAAGCATCTCCTATGTGCCAGATACTGTACCAAGAACTGAAGATAGAGTTGGAATGGAGAGTTTAGTACATGCCCAGGTCACCCAATATGGCATCACCCATGTGGAAGACACCAGATACCTGCTTCTGGGAGACTGAAGGAATGGAGCACATATGCACATTTTACCTGACCTACTATGGAGTTGGGGCAGCCTTTTTCTATTAGCTGAATGGTAAGACCTGTTCTTTGAACTGCCTGACTGAGCATCCTTTGGGTTTCTCTACGTTGGCATCTGAGAGCAAAGGGCTCTTTCATTCAGAGTTGGTTATACCATTTGGTGTGGGGAAAGGGAGGGCCTGAGGACTACCTCCACCTTTCTTCTGCCCCCATGGCATGTGCCATTCTCCTTTATCCTTTTCCATTAGAGGCACAGGGGTGGAGTTTCCCATTTAGTCCAGGAGGATAGGATCTCAAAATCTGGGAGTCTAGGAATTCAAGTAAATAAAGAACCTGAGAAATATGAGTTTTAGGAAAGAGACCAGAAGAAGCCAGCACTGCTGAAGTTGGTCTTGAAATGATGGAACTAATCCTATGTAGGGATGGAGCTAAATTGTGAGCCTAATCCCCCTTCCCTCCCTAGAGATGAGAGTTGGATAAAGTACCCAAGGTATTGGGGAAAATGTTTAAATGTTTCTTCTTGTTATAGCTTTGAAGTAAATATTTCTTTATAAAAGCTAATCCAAAGTTAAGTGGTTTCCTGGAACTGGAGATGCTAGCCACAGAGTCTCTTAAATGGGGGAGAACACAATTGAGCCTCCTTTGGTTGAGGGGGGACTCAAGTCAGTGGCAGAGAAGAGAGATCCCCCAAACCTCTTAGCATACTCGCAAACCCTGAGGAGAGGGTAAAATCTAACAGTCCTTCTCAGACAGTGGGGCCAAGGGTCACTACGTTTTACAGCAATAAAAAAGCAAAACAATGCCTGCTCTCAGAAATATAAAACCAAGGGAATATTGGGGTAACGATGCTCCGGACAACAGGAGAGCTTTTCTGTACAAAGTGACTCCTGAGCCGAGCCTTGGAGGAAAGTCAGGATTGCAAAAGGCTGAGGGGTGGAGGGATGGAGGACAGCAAGGGAGAAAGCCTCGAGATAGGACACAGAGCAGCAAATCAAAGGGAGCAGAGGAAGGGAAGCTTGGCCGTATCTTAGAAAGTTTGTGAAGGGGAATAAAAATCGAATACGGCTGAGAGCAGGCTTAAGCCAGTTTATTGAGGAGGAGAGCAGCACAGTTCTACTCAGAGCTGCCCTTTGAGAAAGATCACTTCCCTAGAGGTGCTGAACAGGAATTGGAGGGAGGGGTGGCTTGAGGCAGAGAGACAAATTAGCCTGTGAAGGTAATAATAAAGGCCTGTGGGGCCAACTCCCTGAGCTAGAGTGCTGACTGTGTGGGTGGAGACAAGGGAATGGATTTGAGAGAAGCTGTGGAGATAGATTGTTATTCTCCCTTGGGAAGAAAACCAGAGTCCTATCCCCTGGTCTCCAAATATGGGAAACAGCCCTAGAATTCATCCCTAGAGGTTGAAAGGACCATCAGCGCTGGCCTTTGGCTCAGGAGTGTTCATGAATATGAAATGATTTGGATTCTTCAGAGAGCCGGGTTTGGCTTGGAAAAGGGAGGCTTTAGACAGGGTTAAAATTCCTTTTTCTTCAGAGGGCTTTGGATGCCACAAGAAGCCTGCCTCCCCCTGAGCCCCCCCCCCCCACTCCTGGTCCAAATCCCTCTGCTCAAACAGAAGAACTCTAAGTGCCAAGAGTTTTTGGTCTCAGAGACTCATCCAGCCCTTTCTTCCTAAATCCCTGTTGCTCATCAGAACGCTCCATCCCTTGAGCCCCTGCCAAGTGGAATAGCGCTGGCTGATGGCATTAGAAGGACTGTTTTGTTCAGCACTGTCTCTGGATAGTTAGGAGAGTGGCTTAGACCCCAGTGCCGATGACACCAAAGTCGTGGACTTGACTGCATCTCTGGGTTGGCTCCAGGCAGTCCCTAAATCCTCCCCTCCCCCCCTTCTTCCCTGTTGGCTCATTGTGATATAGTGGTTCCCAAAAGTTATACCAGCATAAATGCTGACAAATAACACAAGATCGGAAAGCTCTCTGTATAGACCTGGTGGCGGGCTGTGTAGACACACAGTCTGCTGTGTGTCTGCTTATCTCAAGAGGGCAACCAGAACATCTAGGAACCTCGAGTTCATTCTATATCAATCGTCAACCAATCAGCAGGAATTCATTAAGGACCTACTATGTACCAGGCACTATGCTAGATATTGAGGATACAAAGACAGAAATAAAATATACAAATAAAGACTGATTGAAGGAGCTGAGAAGAGAAGCCCATTCAGCAGGAAGCTTAGTGGAATGGGATCTGACTTTGTCCATCTGGTTCCAGAGGGCAGAACCAGGAACAATGGGTAGAAACAGTGAAGAGATAAATTTGGGTTTGATATGATGAAAATATCAGCTGAACAATGGGTGTTGTCCAAAAGTTGAACAGGGTGACTCTAGAGGTCCCCCCTTCAGACAAAGGCTGACCCACATGCCAGATCAGCAT